TCACAAAATCCCATTTTTTTTATCCCATTTTATCCCGGTTTTTTTGCCGTTTTTCACCCCAAACTCCAATTTTTTCCCCGTTTTTTTTTCCAAATCCCACTTTTTCCCAAAATCCTGGAATTTTTCCTCACCTGATCATGTCTGGGGGCACCACGAGCTCATCCAGGAGCCCCCCGAGCCGTTCCCGGATTTCCCGTCGGTTCCGCAGCCGAAGGTTCATGGCCACGGATTGTTCCTGCAGCGCTCGGATCTCCCAGCTCAGCGAGCTCAGAGAGCTCTGGAACGACCCCAGCATCTCCTCCATACGCTGGAAAAAAATTGGGATGAATTCCGGGCATTTTGGGAAAATTTGGGAATTTTTTTGGCAATTTTTGGGCTTTTTTTGGCATTTTTAAGGCATTTTTAAGGTACTTTTTAAGGGATTTTAGAGCATTTTTTGTGGATTTTTGGCGTATTTGAGACACTCGGGGACAATTTGGGAATAAATTTGGGACAATTTTCAAGGATTTTGGGAAAATTTGGGAATTTTTTTGGCTTTTTTCAGGATTTTTTTGGCTTTTTTTTTGGGCTTTTTTTGGCCATTTTAGGGCATTTTTAAGGCCATTTTCAGTCATTTTTTAGGGGATTTTAAAGCCATTTTTCTGCATTTGGGGACATTTGGAAATGAATTTGGGGCAATTTCAGGGATTTGGGACAATTTTAGGGGATTTGGGGCTTTTTTTTGTGAATTTTTTGGGGTTTTTTGGTGATTTTTGGACATTTTTTGCGCTTTTTTTTGGTGATTTTAAGGCGATTTTAGGGCGATTTTCAGTCATTTTTTAGGGGATTTCAGAGCGGTTTTTTGTGAATTTTTAGGACATTTGGGGACATTTGGGAATGAATTTGGGACAATTTCAGGGATTTGGGACAATTTTGGGGCTTTTTTGGAGCTTCTTTTGGGAATTTTTGAGGGTTTTTTTGGGCATTTCTGGGCCATTTTCAGCGGGGTTTTTTTTAAAAATTTTAAAATATTTCCACCTCTTTCATTTTTTTCCCCATTTTGGGTTATTTTTGGGGTATTTTGGGTGGTTTTGGTCTCTCACCTCGAGGATGGAGTCGCAGGCGCTGATTTGGTTGTGCAGCTCCGCGATGTTCTCGCTCTCCCGGATGTCTGACTCGTCAAGGGACACTTTGGGGACATTTTGGGACATTTTGGGAATTTTGGGGACATTCAGGACATTTTGGGGATTTTCAGGGGATTTGGGGAATTTTTAGGGGATTTTTGGGGTCATTTTGGGGTAATTATGGGATATTTGGGGACATTCTGAGGACATTTTGGGGACATTTTTGGGACACTTGGGGACTTTTTTTTGGAAATTTGGCGTCATTTTGGGGATTTTGGGATATTTTGGGAACTTTTAGGGATTTTGACACATTTGGGGAACATTTTGGGGGCATTTTGGGGTAATTATGGGATATTTGGGGACATTTGGGGTCATTTTGGGGTTTTTTGGGACACTTGGGGACACTTGGGGACATTTTTTGGGAAATTTGGGGACTTTTGGGATTTTTAAGGGATTTTGAGACTTTTTAGGGGATTTTGAGACATTTGGGGTCATTTTAGGACATTTTGGGGACATTTTGGGACATTTTGGGGACATTTTGGGGAAATTTTAGGGTAATTTGAGGATATTTTGGGGTCATTTTGGAACATTTGGGGACTTTTTTGGGAAATTTGGGGACATTTTGGGCACTTTTGGGACAATTGAGGATTTTGAGGAATTTTAGGGGATTTTTAGGGAATTTTTAAGGGATTTTCTGTGCAATTTTTTGGTGATTTT